TTTATTTCTTTTAAGCTATCACTATCCTATTTTAGAAAGAGCCATAGCATTTCCTATTGCTTTAGAAAAATATGAATGGTTGGTGGTGTGCAAGGCTGACTCACTGTCTGTTCCTGTTCCTCTTGAGTCAGTCCTAGTGACATCTAGTTCTGTGACTTTTATTGTTTATCTGGTTATTTTATGTGCACATATGGTGTTCATCTGGAGTTGATGTGACCTTAAATAAACTGAAGTTAGATTTTCATCAGTCTCTAAAAGGGAAGACTTTATAATGAGTTACTTAGATTGGATATTTTGTGGTTGGAGGGAAATCATTTCAATCTATAGGAGACAACAGATCAAAGAAGGAAATAAACAAAGGACTTGGCACAAACAGGGCCCAGTCTCCAACCTCTTTGTGAAACTTGCCCCGGGGATAGGATTGAGAGGGCAGAAGGTTGAATAGGCCTAATCCTGTGTATAGCCCCTCGGCCTTAGGCACTGTGGAAGCATGGTGACATCTCAAAATTACATCCTTTTCCCCACTAACTTTTGCTGTCAGCTTTAGTTGATTTTCTCATTAAAAAAATCATATAAGATTAAATGGAAGTTTTTTATTCTTTCCATTTCTGTTATATATGGGTAACCCTCATTCAAAATGAGATTTGTTCCCTTTTATGTATCTTTTAAACTCAGTTCTAGAACAAAGAAATGACAACAGAATACTGAAAAGTAGAAAGCATCTAAGTCTGTTTTAATATTAATGCTTGTATCTCTTTTAAAAAATAAGCTGCAAATTTGATGAGGGAAATTTAAGCAATTAGAGAATTAGAAGCTAATTTTGGTGATTTCATGAGTGAAAAAAATTCAGCAAAGGTATGGTATTGAATGGTATGTTATCTAATATAAGCATTTATAAAAGAAGCAACAGGATGTCAAATTTAGCAATGTCCATTTAAATTTATGTAGCTGTGTATCATTGTGGTTTAATTTAAAATTTTATATATCTTAGTGTTGATTATTTCAGATCACTAGCTATATTTGGTTAGGTTTTTTGATGTTCATATATAATAAGCTTTTTAAAAAACCTTAGGTCCACAGTAACTAATGCCAACTAGTTTAAAAAATATATTTGCCAAATTACCAAATTTACCATGAAGAAGAATATGTGAGAGAAGACTTAGTCTATAAAGAAGCCATTGTTTCTAAGACCAGGTCTGTTTCTTGTTGTTGTTGAGTAGTTAATACATTCATATGTTTTGAAATTTAAAAGGTACAATAGAGTATGCTATGAAAATTATTTCTCCCAGCTATTCAGTTTCTTTATCCAGGAGGCAATCAATGTTTTAATCTTTAAGCCACTTTGATTTTGAGAAACTTAGGTAAATTTTGACATATTTATGATCAAATGTGTACCTAATATCTTATGTTCTGTTTTTGTCATTTGGCATGATTTTATTATCAAATCATATTGCCCAATTAACAGCATAAAATTGTATCTACTTGGCAGTTTTATTGGGAATTTGAATTTCTTCCTGTTCAATTTTGCTATTAAAAATAGCAAATGTTAGCATATTTGTAGAAATGCAGGTACTATTTTTTATTGAAAAGTTACTGTATTTATGGAATTCTATATATTAAAGATTATATTTACTGCAAGCAGTGGTTTTCCCCTTTGGAAAGCTGTTATTAATGATATCATTTATAATCAATAGAGTCTTGGAAGAAATATTCTATTTCTCTGTATTTGTTTCTCAGAGAGGAAACACCCAGTTCAATAGTTTGATAACATAGTCCCTCATTCTGTGTTGCTTGATTTCTTACCAGTATAATTGAACGAATCTCAGATTTTACTCCCCCTTCCCTATCCCCAATTTAATATGTAGGAGAGAGAGAGACGGAGTGATTAACCTCAGAATTTGAAAAAGAACAGTGCATATTTGCCATGTATGTTTCCCTCTAAGCATTATAAACATCCAGAGTTTTAGACAAACTATTATGTTGGTACAAAAGTAACTGCGGTTTTTGCAGTCTTTATCTTTGCTAAAATTATTCAGCGTTTCTGGAAAGTATTTGCCTTATGTTCCTAGGCCTATCATGAGGTTTTAAAAATGTATACTAATTACTAAAAAAATTTAAGAGGTAGGGGTCTTACTCCATTGCCCAGGCTGGCCTTGAACTCCTGGGCTCAAATAATTCTCCTGCCTCAGTCTCTTGAGCAGCTGGGACTACAGGCATGTGTCATTGCACTTGGCGTGTATGTTAGTTTTTAAAGCATATACAAATGATGTAATTGTCAGAAGTGTTCCTCCTTCAAACATAGGCATGAAACAAACTTATAGATGTGTGCCTTGCTATAGTGTCATTGATTGTTTGCACTCTTACTTGCCAGATTAAATGTGTTTATAAATGCACATCAATTGAGTTTTGTGGTTATGTCCTGTGCATTGTTGGGATTTGGTATGTGTGCTAGGTAACTAATCTTCAAATCATACAGCAATTAAGGTGTATGTATTTTTAAAATGTAGTCCCACCTGGGTGCAGTGGCTCACGCCTGTAATCTTAGCACTTTGGAAGGCCAAGGCGAGTGGATCGCTTGAGCCTAGGAGTTCGAGATCAGCTTGGGCAACATGGTAAGACCCCCATCTCTACAAAAAATACAAAAATTAGCTGGGCGTGGTGGTGCACGCTTGTAGTCCCAGCTACTTGGGAAGCTGAGGTGAGAGGATCGCCTGAACCCGGGGAGGTTGAGGTTGCAGTGAGCTGATCCTGCCACTGCACTCCAGCCTGGGTGACAGAGTGAGACCCTGTCTCACAAACAAATAAAACATCAATTATTTCTCTTTATTGTACCATTTTTGTAGTTTCAGTAGAAAGCCTGTTACTTGTATACTTCAAAAAATTTGAAGCATTGTTAAAGGAGTATAAATCTCAATCAATTGGCAGTTATTTCTAAAAGGGTGCATGAGAGAAGGAAGGGGAGGAGGCAGCTGTGAGGTGCGGGTGGGGGACATGGATTGGAGTACTTCTGCCCAGCAGGATGTTATAATTTACTAATGATTACAAACATGAAAGACCTTTGTATTTATTTAAACATAATGTCCACATTTAACATTTGGCACCCAGGGACTGACACTGTCTGGTAGTGGCAAATTTGGGGGAATTAGAATAAAAATTTTCAGTTCTATTAATTTTTAAACCTGCTTTAGTTAAAACATAAAGCACATTTTCCAAAAGATAGTCTTTGCAACCATTATTTAAACAAGAGATTTCAGGGAAGTAGTGAACTTTTTCAATTGATTTGGTCTTTAATACTAGCTACAGGAGCAATTAGTTGGATTATTATTTTAACATAATTTTTCACCCAGCAATCCTTTTGAAAGTATTGTTTGCTTAGATTGAAACATTAAAGTGCTTCTTTCTGCCTGCAGTGCAACAGATTAAAAGAGAGAGAAACGCAGGCAAATCAACATGTAAAATTGGGTCAGTACATAGTTGGGGGACCTGTGCGCCAGTGGTCTGGATTGTGTTGAGTTGAGGAGTTAGAGGAAACCGTGAGAGAGAGACAGCAAATTGCTGCACCTCCCTGCTTGAAGGACAAAAAGGGGATTGAGGCCCTAGGGAATCCAGAACAATAAGCTGTCCATGAAGAGGGAAGGCATTTAGTATCATTGCTGGCAATTTTGAATATTGAAAGGAGTTAAGGAGTCAGGATTGGAATAGGGGTAGTTGGGGGATTTATAGTCCCAAGGCAATTAGGAAAATGGACTGAGCCATGTTGCTGCCCCTTGGAAGCGGGTCTGGGAGGGCTTTGGGTTTTAGATAAACGAGCAGGAATGTGGGCAAAGGTTGAGCACTGAAGTACCATTGAAAGCTGCATGTGAATTTTTGGTATTGTTTGTAATCTTTACCTGTGGAATTACAGTGTCCCAGATTTCATATTTCACATGTGATTATATACAATGATTATGATGATATGAATATCATTATGAATATTATATGAATATGGTTATAATTACATAATATAAACAGCTACAGTTGAAGATGTACAAATGGGATTTTTCATTTCATGAAAGGAGATATATATTTTATTTATTTTTATATATCCATGGTCACACACATTTTTTTCTTTCTTGTCTTACAGAAACCAAAAAAAAAGAAGTTGGTAGAAGTTTTTGTTAAACTTTTTTTTTTCTCTACTAGTTAACAGATTTCAGATGCAAATATACTCTCATTATCCAAATTCAAATCTCTGTCACTCACCACAGGAATATGGAATGTGGCTTTGATCTTGAGGGTGTTGTACTCATGGTAACTAGATGTTCCATTTCTCAGCTTTGCCTTGAAGAGTTTTTCTGGTTTTGTCTTGAAATGATACTGAAATTTATCTTTCTAAATTCTTCCCTTTTGTGTGGGTGTAGCCATGTACCTGTATCCGAATTTTGCTTAGGATAATACATTTTAGAATTTGAACTGGAGGAGACTTTTCCCCTTTTGACTTAAGGCACCAAAGTAGTTTTAATTGCTCTACAATCCAAGGAAGCAGAAGCAAGTGGGTTTGCTGCCAAGAATGCTTACCACAAAGAGGAAAAAAATAATTGTAGCTCTGAATTTTAGCTCTGGCTTGTAAAATATGACAGTCTTCTACTATCTCTTTTTCTTTCATTGAGTACCTTGCTGCCACATCTGTCTCTACTTTTTTTTCCAAATGGGTTTATTAGTTTTGTTATTTGGAATATGGCTGGGGTGATCCTGGAAACACTGGTCTGAGAAATAGTCTTGACATTTCAGCTAGAAACAAACCCAGGGGTAGATTGATCTGAGACAGAGTTTGAGACCATCCCTCTGAACCTCTCCAGGGTGGGCCTAAGTGTCAAACTGTCATTCCCCCATGAGGAAGGAGGTTTTACCTTCTTCTTTTCAAGATAGCAAGACGTGGAGGCTTTGCTGGATTTTCCTTTTTTACGCTGCCAGTCGGGCTCTGATGTGGAATCTGCCTGTCTCTTCTCCCTTGCCTACAGGCTGGAGGCTCTCAGGTCATTTTTACCAACCCATTGGAGATAGTGAAGATTCGTCTGCAAGTAGCTGGAGAGATCACCACGGGACCCAGAGTCAGCGCCCTGAATGTACTCCGGGACTTGGGAATTTTTGGTCTGTATAAGGTGGGTAGGTTTAGGTTATAATGTACTCAATAAAATGTGAAAGAATGTGGAAACCAGACTTCTTCCCTCCAACTTGAAAAGCAATGTTGTCTAGCAGGGTAGTCTGTGGAGTAGAAAATCAAAAAAAAGAAAAGAATCAGGACACTTGTATGAGAGGCTGTGGAATACATATGCAACCTCTCCTGTTGTCATCTTCAGGCTTTTGTGAAACTGTCAGCAAGGAGGCCAGTACCGCAGACCTACTGGCCTCAGGCTCACAGCCTTTCATTTGCTGGGGGGTTTGGGAAGACTTTCCTTGGTGCTCTCTTTGGGCTGGTTTAGGGCTTCAAAATAGTCTTATGTTTATTTTCAGTCTGAGTTATCTCTATTAACTTCCCAGTGGGAGCTTTTCTTTGTCTTAATAATTTGACCACAGTAAAACAGTAGTAGAGTTTGGTAGGATTCAGGTCTTTAAGAAGGTAAGTGGTGGGATTTGTCAATAATGAATTCCATTTAGGAAAAAAAAAAAAAAAAACCAACAACAACAGAGTGTACTGTACTTTAACAAAATGCCAGTCAACAGATTCCTTCCCTGCGGGCATACTTACTCCCATCATTACAGATCAGATGTAATGGAGCAGAAGCTATTATTTTTCTTAAACAAGGAAGAGTATTTCTTTCCATTCCTTTGCCTCGTGTAAGGGGAATACGTAAATTTAGCCACCATAGACAACTGTGTTTCCACAGCATCTGATATAGATCCATCACTGCAGAAATGTGTAAATTTGTTTCTGTAACTGCAAATTAGAAATTAGAAATTCTCTAGATTGGAATCACACAGCTACAGGGTTCTCTGGAGACCAGCAAACAATGATGCCTGTCTCAAGAGAGTTTCGTACACATTTTTGCTTCCTCCTCCCCACTCCCAATTTCCATCCTTTTTGAATTCCCTTTGAGAGATGAATTTATTAATATTGCTTCTCTCTGTATTATCCTTTAGCGAGTCCGTGGATTTTTTTCTTTTTTCAATGTTTGAGTTTGTCTTTTTGAAAAAAAACCAGGGCTGGGAGCACTGGCTCACACTTGCACTCCCAGCACTTTGGGAGGCCGAGGCAGGGGGATTGCTTGAGCCCAGGAGTTCAACCAGCCAGGGCAAAATGTCTAGACCTTGTCTCTACTTTAAAAAAAAAAAAATTAGCTGGCACAGTGGTGTACACCTGTCATCCCAGCTACTCAGGAGGCTGAGGTGGGAGGATCACTTGAGCCCAGAAGGTCAAGGCTACAGCAAGCTGTGATCGCGCCACTACACTCCAGCCTGGGCAACATAGTGAGACCCTGTCTCAGAAAAAAAAAAAGAAGAAGAATAAAACAGAGTCATTAAAAAAATAAGCGCCAAGGTGGAGTGTTTGGCTAGCTAGGTAGTGGAATGGTGTGGGCTTCTGACAGAGCTGAGAGAGGTGTTCTTTGAGACCTCAGTCATGGGGACAAGCTGCCCCGGGTAATGATTTTCTACTCCTGTGGAAATCTGCTGCTAAAATATTTTGTCTGATATTTAGGACATGGGGAATGAGGAGGGAAGATTTGGGTTTCTTTTCCCCCTGCTCTAGAGTAGTTACCTTCCTTCACCACTGCTGCTAGCTTTTTACCTGGCACTGCGGGGACTCTCACCTGATGTAAAAATTTAAGAGGGTAGATCTTGTGTGTTTTTACCATAGTAAGAGATTAATTAATTTAAAAAACCCTGAATCTGTATTAAAAATGCCAGAAAGTTCTTAGTTTTCAGATAGTATCATTACCCAGTTGTTAACTCTAGGACTGCAGGATTCACCATGCTTTCACAAGCTTTGAGATATACGGATTTCCCTATTCCCCACTCATCTCCCGCCTCCCCCATTTCCCTTGCACATCAGTTCTAATGCTGTTTGAGGGACACCTCAGGCTTGTCACTGAAAAATGTCACATGGATCCCATTTGGGCATTCATACTCAGTTTCACACTGTTTTGCACTATTTCCTCACTGTGTGACAGGGTGCCAAAGCGTGTTTCCTCCGAGACATTCCCTTCTCTGCAATCTATTTTCCTGTTTATGCTCATTGCAAACTACTTCTGGCTGATGAAAATGGACATGTGGGAGGTTTAAATCTTCTTGCAGCTGGAGCTATGGCAGGTAACTATGAATTTTTTTTTTTTTAACTGCAAGAATTTTCCCATTATTTAAAAAGTACAGAATCTCTATGTACTTTCCCCTTTTATTTCTGGAAGGATTATTGTTTGTACCTGACTTAGTTTAAATATCACTTTTTCTCCTTTGTGGGATGTGCTGTAATTCTGATGAGAGTTAATTACATTTGCATAATGTGGATAAACAGCTTAATACAGCTTAGCAACTCAGAGCCAAATTAGATCTGCCCATCTAAATTGGGCTTTCATCATTAACATGTTTCTTAGTCTCCTGTGCCCCTGAAACCCTGAGTACAGCCAAGCTAAGCATTAAGGTGGGAAAGTTTTTCTTCAAATCAGTTGCTTTGCTGTATCTCATGCTTATGCACAGATCTAGCATGCTCTTACTTTCTCTGTATATTGGAATCTACATGGTTTGGCCCAAAATTGAGCTTTTGTCGTGAAAGTGTCCCTCTTTTTCCTACCATTGCCCTCATTAGACCAAAGTAAGCAGTACCCCTCAGCAAACCACCTTGAACTCAATTTTTGTACTTTTTCTAACCCTTAACACTTTGTCATTAGCCAGGTATAGTGGTGCGTGCCTGTAGTCCCAGCTACCCGGGAGGCTGAGGTGGGAGGATCACCTGAGCCTGGGAGGTCAAGGCTGCGGTGAGCCGAGATGATACCACTGTACTCCAGCCTGGGTGACAGAGTGAGAGCTTGTCTCAAAAAAACAAAAAAACAAAGAAACAAAAAAAAAAAAACAAAAACAGTTTGTCTTTTATTAATAGTTATTTGCATAAGTGTTATCCTCTGTACTAGGCTAATAGCTTCTTGAGGGCAAGAGTTTCATTCTCTTCATCCTTGCCTTTCCTGTGTGGCCAGTGTAGTAGTAATAGGTGCTCAATAAATGTCAATAACATGAAGGAAAACCTTCATCTCATCTAAGATACCAAATTAGGCACAGAAGAGATTCCATTTGAAAGAGGAGCCTTGTAAGAGCAGGGACGTACTAAGATGCTTCCTTCTGACCTCACAGGTACAGCCTGACTCTTGAGTTAGGAAGGAGCTGACTTGGAATAGAAGGAGAGAACCAGGTGTCCTTGGCTGCACCAACACTCTGAAAAGACAAAGGAAGGAAGGGGTGCATGTTTGCTCTCTATACAACCAGTAATGAACCATTGCAGAGCTCAGTGTGGCTGTGACCAGCCAGGCTTATGTTCACTGTGTGGCTCTTCATTGCTGGGCTCATTCTCCTCTGGAGGCTCTGGCTAAACATCGCGGCAACCTGAGCAGCTCCTGGAGTGTGCTGTGCTTGGTGTGTGGCAGGAGCCCTTGGGCCCGAGAGTGTTGGGATGGACCACATTGTTCTTGCTTGTGAAGACAGGGGTGACTTGTGATCATTAAGAAACGGCCCCAGGGACCTTACCGCCCTTACTTGGGGCCCAGCAAGTCCTTTCTCCCCTAGCGGTGGTAATTTCAGTAAGTTTTGCGTTTAAAAGCCAGTAAAGTTACCCGCTCAGTTTTGGCAGTGAGTTGTGTGTAGCAGCCCCTTTCTGGTACTTACCAGTCTCCCACCTTTTTTTTTTTTTTTTTTTTTTTTTTTTTTGGTGAGACGGAGTCTTGCTCTGTCACTCAGGCTGGAGTGCAGTGGTACAATTTTGGCTCACTGCAACCTCTGCCTCCCAGGTTCAAGCGATTCTCCTGCGTTAGCCTCCCAAGTAGTTGGGACTACAGGCGTGTACCACCATGCCTGGCTAATTTTTGTATTTTAGATAAAGACAGGGTTTCACCATGTTGGCCAGCACAGCTGGTCAGAGCCACACTGAGCTCTGTAATGGTTCATTACTGGTTGTATAGAGAGCAAACATGCACCCCTTCCTTCCTTTGTCTTTTCGGAGTGTTGGTGCAGCCAAGGACATCTGGTTCTCTCCTTTTCCAAGTCAGCTCCTTCCTAACTCAACAGTCAGACTGAGGCCAGGCGCGGTGGCTCATGCCTATAATCCCTGCACTTTGGGAGGCCGAGGTGGGCAGATCACGAGGTCAAGAGATTGAGACCATCCTGGCTAACACAGTGAAGCCCCATCTCTACTAAAAATGCAAAACATTAGCCGGGTGTGGTGGCAGGTGCCTGTAGTCCCAGCTACTCGGGAGGCGAGGCAGGAGAATGGCGTGAACCTGGGAGGCAGAGCTTGCAGTGAGCCAAGATCGTGCCACTGCACTCCAGCCTGGGCGACAGAGTGAGACTCCGTCTCAAAAAAAAAAAAAAAGAGTCAGGCTGTACATGTGAGGTTTCAAACTCCTGACCTCAGGTGATCCACCCATCTTGGCCTTCCAAAGTGCTGGGATTACAAGTGTGAACCACCACACTTGGCCCAGTCTCCTACTTTTAAATGGGGGCAACATTTGCCTTCCAGGCTTTTCCTTGTGCTTCCCAATCAACAACGAAAAACAGCCAGGGAAGAAGAGTCTAATTGTGGACAGGCATTTGCCAGTGGTTGACTGAACCAACTAAATATTTCCATGGAACTGGCAGCAGCAACTTTTTCCCCATAGACATTTGATGTCAGTTTTCAGAATGAAATTATTTTTTCTAATTTTTACCAGTCAAGATTTGCTAGCAGGAACTGAGAACATTCAAAAGTCTGCCTCCAAAGGCAGGCAGTTTACCTAGTTTCATCTGAATAGGGTGCAAGGCCATGCCAAGGGGAGGTATTTGCATTCTTCTCTAGCAGAACCCCCTACAAGGCTGCCAGCTCCATCTGCCTAGTGAGGATACAATGATATTCAGGCCAAATTGAATTTCTTTCCCCTGGGGAAGATTATGTTGCTCCTTTGCTCTCCGTTTTATTTTATAAGTAAAAGGTGTGGTTGTGAAATCCGTCTTCTGTGTCCTGATGCTGATCAATCTCAACATGACCCCAGGGAGCTTGGGCACAGGGGCCTTTCCCTGACCAGCTCCCCTATTGTTTCTTAACTGGCTGTCTGGCCACCTCTCGCTCCAGTTGTAATGACTTTTGTCATGTAAGCATGTCTGAAAGGAGTCACAGTTAACTCTCAGGTAGCCCTTCAAACAAGCGAGTGATTATGAGTATTGATACTCACCTCCCACACTACAGTTGACAAGAATCAGGAAAAACAGTAGTTTGGTGTCAGATACATTTAGTGACTCACTAAAATGACATTATCCTTTTTTTATACATAAAAAATACTTGTATCTTATTTAAGAAAAAAAGGAGGTAAAATAATTGAAACTGAAAGAGAACACGGGAATTGCCTTATTAATATTGCTACTTTTTTTTTCGTTTCACAGTTATTTGGGATCGTGCAATGTAGAGTGATTTTTTTTTAATTCGGAAAAAAAAAATAATTTTCCACTGATCACATTGAAACAGCTAATAGGCTTCTATGTCCTTTTCCCATTAGTGGCCAGACATCTATTTAAAGAGTTTTGAGTTCCGCTCAAGTGATTGAAGTTGCAGACTCTATAGTAGATGTTAGTAGTATTCCTATCTTTTATAAGGTACTCTAGATAAATGTAGTTTTCTTCTGAAAGGTGTCCCAGCTGCATCTCTGGTGACCCCTGCTGATGTCATCAAGACAAGACTGCAGGTGGCTGCCCGTGCTGGCCAGACGACATACAGTGGTGTCATCGACTGCTTCAGGAAGATTCTCCGGGAAGAAGGGCCCTCAGCATTTTGGAAAGGGACTGCAGGTAGGCAGGGGCTGGAGCCATACAGAAGAGCTGGCTGGCTCTAGCATCCTCCCCTGTGACTCAGTGGCTGTCTTTACCACATTTGTTCTGGCTTTAAGTCTCCCCTGCCCCTGCTTCTGTTTTTCAGCTCGAGTGTTTCGATCCTCTCCCCAGTTTGGTGTTACCTTGGTCACTTATGAACTTCTCCAGCGGTGGTTTTACATTGATTTTGGAGGCCTGTAAGTCAGCTGCTCAACTCCTTTACAAAGAAATCACTAAAACCAAAACAAATGTTTGCTCTGTCTACAAAGGCATTGTTGCAACTCTTAGAAAACTGATAAGACAGAACCTTTAATAAGCTATTGGGGGATTTTAGGGAAGCAGCAAATTTTTTTTAAAAGACAGGATATCCTCTGTTGCCCAGGCTGGAGTGCAATGGCATGATGTTGGCTCACTGTAGCCTCAACCTCCCGGGCTCAAGTGATCCTCCCACCTCAGCCTCCCGAGTAGCTGGGATCACAGAGGCGTGCCACCACACCCAGCTAATTTTTGTACTTTTTTATAGAGATGGGATCTTGCGGTGTTGTCCAGGCTGGTTTCGAACTCCACCAGCCTTGGCCTCCCAAAGTGCTGGGATTATAGGCATGAGCTACCGTGCCTAGCCAGGAGGCAGCAGATTAAAATGCTGTGTAAATAATTGTCTTTTTTCACGTAAGCAAATACTGAACTTCATGGTGTTCTCATTATGTGGATTTTATTATATGGCCCTTTCACAGAAGTAATGTAAATGTATACCAGTAACACTTTTGTGCATTTTCTTTCAAAGTCCCAAGCCTTTTTGCATCTCTGATACTTCATTATTCACCACAATTTATTATTAGTTAGGTGTAGATGTTCTTGAAGCTAATTTACTGGAAAAACCAATAGGCTTGAAGAGAGATTTTGCCCATGGATATAATCACTAGTGAGCTGTAGGCCAGAAATTGGGCTTCTAAAAGTTTATCATTTGAAGCTTGCACTGAGAAGAGGAATTATTAGTTGAATTTTCTGGGTGGGGAAGTTGTACCCAAAGCAAGCAGTTATTAGCTTTTTAGCAGAAGACCAAGTACCATTCCTGAGTCCTCACATCAGAAGCCTGTGAACTCCTCTGTGCCCAAAGGCCATATATGGAATCAGCTGTTGGATCAAGTGGAGGGACCTATACAAAAAAAGTGAGAACAGTAGTCTTACAGTTGCATTGTAGAAATGTGAAGCTTCAGGCTTTTCCATGCTTTCAACTTCTGTAAAAGAACTAAAGCTATTTATTTCTCTCTCTCTCTCTCTTTTTTTTTTTCTGACAGAGTCTCGCTCTGTCGCCCAGGCTGGAGTGCAGTGGTGCGATCTCGGCTCACTGCACCCTCCACCTCCCAGGTTCAAGTGATTCTCCTGCCTCAGCCTCCCGAGTAGCTGGGACTATAGGCACATGCCACTGCGCCCAGCTGATTTTTTTTTTATATTTTTAGTAGACACAGTTTCACCGTGTTAGCCAGGATAGCTTCTATCTCCTGACCTCGTGATCCACCTGCCTTGGCCTCCCAAAGTGCTGAGATTATAGGCGTGAGCCACCGTGCCCTGCCTATTTCTCTTTAAATAATTTAATTGATAATCTTTATGAGTCTACTACGTAAAAAGTTAACTTCTAAAGTTATGTCAAAAGAAAAATATATACTTTAAAAATTACTTTCATATATGCTAAGTGCAGAAAATTTGGAAAACCATAAAGCATAAAAGAAAAAAACCAGCCTGGGTGTGGTGGCTCACACCTCCCAGTGCTCTGGGAGGCCAAGGCAGAAGGATCGCTTAGACCAGAAGTTCGAAACCAGCTTTGGCAACATAGCAAGACCCCATCTTTACAAAAAGAAAAAAGAAAAAAATCATCCATAATCCTACTTCCCAGAGAATCTTCATATTTGAATGTCTTTTCTTCTGACTTTTTTCCTATGGATCTGTTTATATATGTATACAAGCATTGGAAATAAGGCCATTTCTCTTGTAAATCAGATATGTAGATAAGTTGCTGTCAAAGCAGCCATAAATCATGACTGTTGTTTCTAGTCATGCAGCACAGGTGCCATGGAAATAGTTGAGACAAACACTCTTCTTTGTGGCACATGGGTCAGACCGAAAATGTCCAGCGGTAAGCTGCCCTCATCCACCTTCAGCATGCTAACCGTTGGCTTTTTTTCTGTCAACAGCAAACCCGCTGGTTCAGAACCAACACCTAAGTCACGCATTGCAGACCTTCCTCCTGCCAACCCTGATCACATCGGTGGATACAGACTCGCCACAGCCACGTTTGCAGGCATCGAAAACAAATTTGGCCTTTATCTCCCCAAATTTAAGTCTCCTAGTGTTGCTGTGGTTCAGCCAAAGGCAGCAGTGGCAGCCACTCAGTGATGAGACAACTGTTGAGTGTGGCAAAATGGCACCTTGAAGAAAGAGGCCTAGGAGAGCAGCCCTGTAATGTATCCAGTCAGCTGCATGGTGCTGACTGAGCTGAGGAGTCAAACTATTCTTTCTATATGACATATACATATACTTGTTTATAAAATAATCATTTGCCCAGGGAAAAAACCACAATGCTGTTTCAAGCTTTAGTCTTATGTGTTGAAATGTTTTCGTAAGCCTTGGCATGAATTAGTGTTCTAGACTCTGCTTTGCACAGCTTGCACTTACAGTGATTGTACATATTGTACATCTTTGTACAGAGACATCTTGGCACCTCATCCCAACAAATCACATTTGTAGAAATGTAATGCGGTTCTGAGTGGCTTGAAATGTACAGAATGTTTTGAAAGTGTTTTATTAAGAATCACACAAAAATAAATGTATTAAAATTAAATTCATTCTCTTATTGGTGACTTATGGAAATAAAGCATCAATATTGGATGTATTTAATTCCTAGTTTGTTTTCCATTCTGGAATAAAAAGGTATTTGCTGATAAAAGGCATAATGAGACATATTGCTGATACCATTGAATAAGTGGTACTTTGGAAAGATGCATGCCAGTGGATGCCAGAGGACCAGGCTAATGACTTGTGTGTGCTGATATGTTTCCATTTGTATTTTAATGTGTGTGTAGACCCTCCTCTGTTCATCAATCAAAAAACATTTCCTAGGCAGCTCCTCTCCTGTCAGTGTGCATATAGAAACAGGGATATCTCCATCATTACTGGCTTAGTTTTGCTTTCCTTTGACACAGCAAGGCAAAGGCCAAGCTTTCAAAAGAGTAAAGGATACTTCCACAGTTTTCCTTCATATGGATATGATTCCAGTCAAAAATAAAATGCACACCAAAATGTGTACATGTAGTTTGATTTTTCTTTGTAAATATACTGATAATGCTTTTTGTTCTGATTGACTACTGTTTCCAAAAATCTCATGATCAGGTTCGCCCTTTCTTCCACCTTTATAGAAAATAGAAAAATTAGTTTTAGAAAGGGCTAGCGCAGAGTGAAGGGAGGGAAGAAGAAAGAGAAGAAAGGCTCTATATGGTGATTTAGTGGGGTCTACGTTCTTACTTTGGAATCCAAATGCAAACTGTTCTAAAAGTCACTCACCAAAGGCGTGATTACTAATTTGGATCTAAACATACATCTTGACAGCCACATCTATACTTTGATATGGATGTGATTTGATGTGCATCATCAGAATTTATTTACCTTACCAAAGTGCTCTTGGAAGACATTGCTACTGCCAGTAAGCTGGAATATGAGAATGTATGCAAATATTTTCAAGAGGCGAGCCTGGAGACAGACCAAGTTACTTAGTATCCTGCACAGGGCTCCTTGATTGATGGCTGACAGCCCTGTGACCACAACTGTAGGCTGTTTGAAGGCCCTCCAGGAACAAAAGAATTAGCTTTGAAAGAAGTTATTTTCAAATGTGTTAGATTGATCTCATAGGAATGGAACAAATAATAATACAGTTGTTTTGCTACTACCACTTGTTAGGAATATATGAGTAGTCCATGGATATGTGATTATAAAAGAATCCTATGTATGTATCTAGAGTAAGATGGGAAAGTGTCCCGCTTACCCTCCTTCTACCTCCACCACTTCCTGGCCCAGAGGTAATCACTGCTAATAGGTTACAGCATGAATCTGTAGTCTGTTTTTCATAACTCTATATAAATATATGTACATATTTATATTTTAACAGGATTATGCTGTGTGTGTGTTATTCTGTGTCTTGCTTGTGTTTTGGATATCTTTCCATGTCAGTTTATAAAGTTTTATTTTTAATGACTGCATAGTATTTCATTTTATGGGTTATAATACTTTTCATAAATCTCCCCTTTTGATATTTATTCATTTTTTTCACTACGGCAAACAATGCTGTAGTGAATGGCAGACATCTTCGTACACATATCTTGAGTGCATGTGAATTTCATTAGGATAGATACTTGGAATTGAAGACTTTTAAGACAAGCTTTACGTTTTTATACATATTGCCACATCGGTCTTCAAAAAGGAATTATTAATTTACTTTCCTGTTGACAGCATATGAGAATGCCTATTTCTCTGCAACCTCAGCAAAGAGGGATATTATCAGTCTTTTACTTTTTCAGGAAATCATGAGAGCTGATCATGGTTATTTTATTTTTCTAATTACTAGTGAGATTGAATGTCTTTTCATATTTACTGGTCATTTGTATATTTTCTTATTGTGGAATATAGACAAAGTACGTGAAACATGTATGCATGTATACAACAGATATGTACACACATATATATTTTTAACATAATGTGCATACCATATGACTACCGAGTAAAGAAATAGAACACCTCCAACATCTCAGAAGCTCCCTATATGTCCCTCCCTAACACAACCTGCCGTCCACTTTAACATCATCCCTACTTTTCGCTTTGCTTTTCTTCACAGTTTTACCATTCATGTATATGTCTCTAAAGACCATATTTAGTTTCTGTTTTTGGAATTTATGTGAATCATATGTACACTTTTGAGACTGGTTTCTTTCGCTAAGCATTATGAGATTCATCCTTATCACTGAATGTAGCTATAGTGTGTTTATTCCATTGTATGAATGTATTACATATACTTTTTTCATTTTACTCTTGATGGACAATCTGGATTTTTTCCACTTTGGGGATATTTCAAACAGTGCTTCTATGGATATTTTGAACATGTCTTCTGGAGTTTGCATCTTTAAAAGGACATATACATAAGAGTGGAACCTAGATCATGCCAACTGTTTCCCAAAGATTCTTGTACTGATTTACATTCTTCCCAGGGTGTACTGGCTTTCCCCCAGCCACCCCAATCTGGTAGATGTATAATGGTATCACATTGTCGTTTAAATGACCATTTTCCTTATATGGAAAAAATATGAAAGGTGTTCATGAGGCTGAGCACATTTCATATATTTTTTGGCCATTTGGATTTCATCTTTGGTGAATGAAGTATGTTAAAGTTTGACCATTTTTCTCATTAATTTGCAGGTGATTCTTTATATATTCTGGATACTACTCCTTTAAGAGTTGTGTTGCAGAATCTTTTCCCACTTTGTGCTTGTCTTTTCACAGTGTTTATAAAATATATTAACATTTTAATTTTAATATCTTCAAATATATCAATAGTTTTCCTTTATGGTTAGCTCACTTTTTAAAATCATTACGTTAAAAATATAGTTAATATTCTCTTGTTACATGCTTTGTAGTTTTGCCTCTCACATTTTGGTGTCATCCCACTTGGAACAATCTTCAACATATAGTATGAGGTAATTTTTTTGCTGCTTTAAGGCTAGTCTGTTGTGCCAGCACTGTTTATTGAAAAAAAAAAAAAAAAAACTTCCTTGTCCTATTGCTTTGAAGTGCCTTTTCTGTTGTATATTGTCCATATATGCAAAGATCTTTTATGAGCTCTTTATTATATTGTTTTTTTTTCCCTCTGCTAATGTACACCCTCTTCATTACTCCATCATCTTCAAAAAATTTTTTTGATATATCAAAGTCCTTTCACGTCCTTGTTATTCATCAATAGCTTGTGGCTCTTCTTGGTTCTCTGCTCTTCTTTATATATTTTAGAAATAGTTTATCACGTTTCACTAAAAAATGCCAAACACATTGAAAATTTGACTGGAGTTGCAATGAATCTATAAGCTATTTTGGGAGAATTTATATCACAGTGGGCCTTTCAATCCATGAACATGATATATCACTAAGTCCTTTTAATGTCTTAATAAAATTTTATTAATCGCCAAGATGGTCTTGTAAATCTTTTGTTACATATATTCCTAGGTACATCCTACATTTGGATACCGTTATAAATATCTTTTTTGGAAATGTCATTTCTGGTATGTAGGAATATAACTCGGTTTTTTCATAACATTGGAAGCCAGTTGTCTTACAGAATGTCTCACATTGTTTATCTGATTGCTTCCTCCTGGTGTCGTCTGACTTGTTCCAGTATAATAAACTGGAAGTTAGTCTAGCAGTACGGCTTTCTTTCTGACAGCTTTACTGAAGGGGTATTTACAGAGCTACGTAACCATCACCACAATAAAATTTTAGTGGATTGATATCATGCTCTAAATGTAAAATGTATCACTTTATACTCCCACCAGTAATGGATGAGTGTTACAGTTTCTCCACATCCTTACCAATACTTAATTATTGACTATCTTCTTATAGCTATTCAGTGGATGTGAAGTGCTACTACATTGTGGTTTTAATTGCTTTTCCCTAATAACTAATGTTGAGTGTTTTTTCATGTGCTTATAGGTATCTATGTTTCTTCAAATCTTTTATCTATTTTTTAATTGAGGTTTGTCTTTTTATTATTGAGTTGTAGTAGTTCTTTATACGTTCTGGATGTGAGTCCTATATCAGATTTGCAAATATTTTCTCCCAATCTGTTTTCTTACTGGCGTCTGTTGAAGCACAAAAGCTTAACATTTTTATTAAGTTCAATTTCATGCTTTTGGTGTCATCTAAAAACTGGTTAAACTAAGGTCATGAAGGTTTTCTGTTTTCCTTGAGAAGTTTAATATTTTAGTTCTTACATTTAGATCTATGATCTATTTTGAGTTAATTTTTGTATATGGTATGAAGTAAGGATTTAAATTCATACTCTGTATGTGAATATCCAATTGTCCAATTACTAATTTTTTTTTATTTTCACTTTTTGTGGAGATGAGGTCTCACTATGTTGCCCTGGCTGGTCTCAAATTCCTGGCCTCAAGCAATCCTCCTTCCTTGGCCTCCCAAAGTGCTGGGATTACAGGTGTGAGCCACTATGTCCAACCTCAGCACCATTCTTGAAAAGACAATCCTTTCCTCAGTGAATTGCCTTGGTGTTCTTTAATCAACAATAAATTGACAATGCCTGTAAGGGTTTATTTCTAGACCCTCATTTCTGTTCCATTCATCTATATCACTATACTTAAGACAGTACCACAATTTTGATTATTGTAGCTTCACATTAAGTTTTGAAATAGGGAAGTGTAAATCCTCTAATTTTGTTCTTTTTCAAAACTGTTTTGCTTATGTTGGATCTTTTGTATTTCCATATAAACTTTAGGATTAGCTTGTCAATTTCTTCAAAAAAGTCAGCTGTTCTTTTTTTGATAGGGATTTTGCTGAATTTATAGATCAATTTGGGAAGAACTGCCATCTTAACAATCTTGAGTTTTCCAATCCACACACTTGGGATCTCTAATTAGATCTTTAAAATTTCACCCATGTTTATATTTTTCAGTGTACAGGTCTAATACCTCTTTGTTAAATTTATCCCTAAATATTTTATTTATTTTTTTGAGACAGAGTCTCGCTGTGTCATCCAGGCTGGAGTGCAGTGGCGTGATCTCAGCTCACTGCAACCTCTGCCTCCCAGGTTCAAGCGATTCTCCTGCCTTGGCCTCCTGAGTAGCTGGGATTACAGACACACACTACCACACCCACCTAATTTTTGTATCTTTAGTAGAGACGGGATTTCACCATGTTGGTGAGGCTGATCTTGAACTCCTGACCTTGTGATCTGCCCGCCTTGGCCTCCCAAAGTGCTGGGATTACAGATGTGAGCCACTGCGCCCAGTCCTTAAATATTTTATTTATGATGTTTTTATTAATGCAATGTTCTTCATTTTCAGATTGTTCATTGTTATATAGAGAAACAGCTGATTTTTAGATGTTGATCTTGTATCTTACAACCTTGCTGAACTCACTGGTTTTGATAATCAGGTTTTATTTTCTATGTCTCTTTTTTTCCTTGTTTCTTTCTTTCTCCTTTACTTTCTTTTGTGTTAAAAATATATATTTTATAGTGTTCCATTGTAAGTTGTTTTAACTATTTTTTGGAGTTATTTTCTTAGTGATTTATCTAGGGGTTAAAATATATATCTTAATTTATCACAATGTACTGATTAATATTAATTCTGGAAAATATATGCCAGTAAGTTCCAGTAAAATATAAAAACATAGCTCTAATATAGCTCCATTTCTTTTCCTCCTTTTGCTATTGTCATATATATTACATTTGTATATGTTATAACCCCACAGTAAAGTTTTATAATTACTGTTCCTTGCCGTTGTATTTTAAATCAATTAAGATAAAAAAAAATGTAGTCTTACATTTACCTATGTACTGCCTTTATAGGTGTTTTTCATTCATGTGAATTCGAGTTACCATCTGCTATGGTTTGAATGTATCCAACAAGGTTCATGTGTTGAAAATTTAATCCCAAATGCAACAATGTTAAAAGGTGGGACCTTTAAGAGGTGATTAGGTCATGAGGGCTCTGCCCTCATGAATGGATTAACATATTTATCTCAGTAGTTGGTTGGTTATCACAAGAGTGGGTTTGTTATAAAAGTGGGTTTGGCCCCTCTTGCTCTCACCCTGTCTTGCCCTCCACCAAGGGATGATGGAGCATGAAGGTCCTTGCCAGATGCCAGCACCATGCATGCTTTTGAACTTCCCTGCCTCCGGAACTGTGAGCCAAATATCTGTTCATTATAAATTACCCAATCTGTGTCATTCTGTTATGGCAGCATAAAATGGTCTAAAACACTACTGCTATTTCTTTTCAGACAATAGGACTTCCTTTAATAATTTCTTGCAAGGTAGGTTGTCTAGCAACAAATACTGTCAGTCATTTGTTTAATGATGTCATTATTTTAGCTTCATTTTTGAAGACTAGTTTTGCTGGACATAGAATTCTTAGCTGACAGTTTCTTTTTCCTTTCAGCTTTGAATATGTTATCTTCCTGCCTTATGGCATTCATGGTTTCTGATGAGAAATCAACTGTTGATCATATTGTTGTTCCCTTACATATGGTAAGTCATCTTTCTTTTGTTGCTTTCAAAAATTCCTCTTTTTGAATATTACATGCCTAAATGTTGATCTCTTTTTATTCCGTTTGCTCACTGTCTTTTTTGTTTGTTTGTTTTCCTGAGATAGAGTCTTGCTCTGTCACCCAGGCTCACTGCAACCTCCACTTCTTGGGTTCAAGTAATTCTCCCACCTCAATCTCTCAAGTAGCTGGGAATACAGGCATGTGCCACCAAGCCCATCTCATTTTTTTATTTTTAGTGGAGACGGAGTTTCACCATGTTGGCCAGGCTGGTCTCAAACTCCTGACCTCAAGTGGTCCACCTGCCTCAGCCTCCCAAAGTGCTGGGATTACAGGTGTGAACCACTGTGCCCGCCCTCATTTTCATATATTTCAAAATATTTTAAATTTTCTCTTGAGATTTATTCTTTGACCCATGTGTTATTTAGAAGGTGTTGTTTAATCTCCAAGTATTTTAAGGTATCCAGCTATCTTTGTTATTGATTTCTAGTTTAATTCCTTTGAGGCCTGAGAACAGACATTATATGTTTATTCTTTTAAATGTTTTAAAGTGTGTTTTTATGGCCCAGAATGTGGTAGTTGTGAATGTTTCATGTAAGCTTGATAAGAATATGTATTCTGCTGTTGTTTTAAGTAGTAGTCAATAGACATCCATCACATCCAGTTGATTGATGGTGTTGCTGAGTTCAACTATGTCCTTACTGATTGATCTGCCTGCTGGATCTGTCCTTTTCTGATAGAGGGGTGTTGAAGCCTGTAACCATAATAGTGAACTCCTTGAAGTTCAATCAGTTTTTGCCTCACATATTTTGATGCTGTCTTGTTGGGAGCATACGTAAGAACTGTTTTGTCTTCCTGGAGTATTGACCCCTTTATCATTATATAATGCCCCTTTTTATTCCTGGTAACTTTCCTTGCTCTGGAGTATTCTCTGTTTGAAATTAGTGTATCTACTCTTGATTTCCAGGATCCCTCACAAATACCAAAATTCAAGGATGCTCAATTCCCCCAAATAAAATGGTGTAGTATTTCCATATAACCTACGCTCATACTCCCATGTACTTTAAATCATCTCTAGATTACTTGTACCTAATACAATGTAAATACTATGTAAATAGCTGTGTTGGATTTTTATTTGCATTATTTTTATTGGGTATTGTTATTTTTAATAGTTTTTTTCCCAATATTTTCAAGTTGGTTAGTTGAATCCATGGATATAGAACCTACAAATATGGAGGGAAGGCCAGTTGCAATATAAAGTAGCATTTAGGAGAGCAAGTTCACCTTCAGTGTTCACTTTCAAAATTGTGTTGCTTATTTTTCCATCATTTCTCTTGCATGAGTTACACAGTCAACATTTTTTCAAGTTCTAGTTAAAAATTCTGTTGGAATTTTCCTTGGAAAGTTATAATTTGCTTTAGGATGTATACTGATTTTATAATATGGAATCTTTCCATCTCAGGTCTGTCCATTTTTCAGATTTCTAAATATGCTTCAGCAAAATTTTATATTCTTAAGTATTAAGTAGGTTTTACAAACTCCTTTTATTGTAGTATGCTTAGGTTTAAATATTTTCATTCCTATTATGAACAGAGTTATTGCCCATTACATTTTCTAACTAATAGGCAATTTGGATATGCTAATCTTATACTCAGTCA